AAGCTCATCTTTGCCAAAGCCCGAAAAATAAAAGAAAACGGGCCCTCAAGTGGGTCCTGGTTTAAGAAAATCTCCTATGTGAAATCTCAGATTTCGAAAACAAATTGGTGGCCGATTATTTGTCCTACAAAAGACAGCTTCACTTAACAAAAGAGTTCACTCAAAAGTTTCTTTAAGAAGAGAGCCCCCTGGTGTATTTAATGATGTTATTGGATTAAAAAAAATCAGGCAGACCATTCAAGGACACTGCGCCATACATATGTGAAGGCATTGTACTATGTTGTAAGAGGAGTCAGGACTCTGACAAATGGACCATTTTGACCCAAAGAAACACAAGGAAAGAGCAAGATGAGTTTTCTTGGCCTAATATCCTGGCAGCTTTCTGGAAAGGCTCTGGGAGCTTGTGTGATTTATTTAAGACCAGCTACGCCCAAGGCCTGTGATGTGTCCATTTGGAGAGAGGGCCTGTGCCTCACTGCGGGTCAAAGTTCTGACTGCACAGCCTGACCCGTCACCTGCCCTAATCAAAACGGTTTTCAGCCCTGAGCTCAGCTCTGCACTGCGATGGCACAAAAATGTATCAGTTGCCAGAAAGCGGATTCTCCAGTGATGAAGACTGATCCTTATTTATGTCTACATAGGTACATTCTGGGGCCCATAAAGGTTTAATTGTCCCTCAAACTAATTTTTTCAAAAACTCACAAAGAGGCTGCCAGCTTTTCCCAGAGCTTAAACCCAGCTGAATGCGGTTCTGTGGAAACTGCTTTAAGTGTGTAACGCACGCCGTGTCCTGGGGCACAAGGCGCGATTGTTCTGGGGACTGGAAAGATGCAGCTCTTAGGAGGACTTTTAAAGTCAGTTTTTGTGGCTTTCTGCTGCTGCTGACCTTGAGTTGCTCTGCAGAGAGAAAAACTCCTTCAGCTGAGATTCTCCTGTGGCGGCACTGCCCCCTACTGCCACCTTCAGGATGGGGGGATCTCAGTGTTGCAGCGCCCTGGAGGTCCTTCCTTTCCTCTTGGGAGAGACAGATATTTCCAGGAGGGTTAATTATGCAAAGCAATGCTGATGCACACCTGTAATCTCAGTACTTGGGAGGCTGAGGCAGGAGGCTCACCTCGAGTATAAAGTCAGGCTGAACCAAGTAGCTGAGACCCTCCCTGTCTCAAAAAAAAAAAAAAAAAAAATTATGCAAAGCATGGAGTAAATACAGTTCCCAGAATGTTCTTTGTTCTCTGTGTTGAAACTCCTGTCCCTAAAGATTTGTAATGGTTTCCCCATCCATCAAACTTCACTCTGAGCTAGGAAGGGCCACTGCCTCACAACCCCCAGATTACCTCGTCAACCCTTCTCATACTCCTCTTGGAGTTGAGTGAAGAAAACACATCCGTCAAGAGACTAAAGCAAATAGTTTTGACGTGTGGTTCTGTCCCATGAGGGAGGCCATAATGAAGTCAGTCCCAGTTTACATGGCTTCAAATGGTTCCATTTAGATGTTCGCCCTGTATTTACACGACCCCACCACTTTGACTGTTTATCTTGCAGTATACGCGGCCATACTTGCAGTCTTGGCCTCTATTTAACTTCATCCCTTACTTTTTCCATCCCATGGCCTGTCATTTACATTTTTTCTTTAGGAAATGTAAATATTTATTTACAGTATTAGCTTTTACTCTTGTATCATCTATACATTCTGGACTAAACAGACTGTGATACAAATTTTTCGCCTGAGTTTTCTATAAACTGCTGATGACTTTAACCAAGTCATTGAACCTCACAGAGCCTAAGATGTTGCTTTGTAAAATGATGTTTTTGACTTTTACTTTGTTTTAGCTGGCAGATCTGTATCCAAGATTTTCCTTAAGATCTCTGTAACTCCTTTCAGCTATCCGTGAATATTTCTCTTATATCTTTGCCATTGTTGTCCTTCCTTTCAAAGTTTTTATGGATAAGACCCACATTTCATAAATTTGACTTTGAGGGCAGAGTATACGCAGAACAGTGTTTGGTGAGAATAGATCATACAATGGGTTGGGTTCAAACTCATTTATGTGAAAGAATGGGTGAGGATAGGAAGAGTCTAACTGCAGGCCTGAAATTACCATAGATTGCTTCTCAAACTGGGGTGCAGGTACCTACAGGGGCTTACGGGGTGCATCACCAAGCACAGGATGCTTTTCACTCTAGAACAATAATGTTTGAGAAGAAGATGTTGGACATAGTGGTGCAGGCCTGCAATCCCAACACTCAGGAGGCTGAGGCAGGAAGATGGCTGTGAATTCAGTGCCAGCCTGGACTACATAGGGAATTCAAGGCCAGCCTGATCTACATGAGACCCTGTTTCAAACAAACAAACAAACATCCCTCAAAAAACAAAACAAGATATTTGAGAATGGGAAATTAGACTTTAGTGTTAAAACAAAAATATGTCTATTGTGAATAGGAGATAAAAGTCATACATGACATCTTAAGATACAGAGGGGACCCACACTAAAATATGTGAGTGGAAACAGGGCTTTTGCTTCTGCACTGGAGTTGAGAAATACTTGCCTTTGGGTCTTCTGAGGTATGTGCACTTTAATAGGGTAAAGGTATTAGGTTACCATGGAGGGACATTCCTGCTAAATAATAGACATATGTAGAAAATTCGATTTCACCCATGAAAAAAGTTTAAAGGGGGTTCTGAGGTTGTGAGGCAGGCTGAACCAGAGACCTAGCTGCAAAGACCCAGTGAGGACAGACCCTCTCTTAAGCCTCTGGCTAAGGGCTGGGCTTGAACTGATCTGAACATGTGGAAGATCTGTTAGCCTTTCTCTGACCTCCAGGAACAGTTCTTGTTTGTAAGACCAAGCCTGGTGCTCACTGTGCCATTACAATGTTAGCTGTATTTTTTCTTGTGCGTGGATAGCTTATCAGCCAGGCAGGCAGGTGGTGTGAATTAAGAAAAAGCATATGATCAAGAGCCAAGGGCTTGCCTACCTTGTGACTTCTGGTTATTCCCTGAGCTCTTGGGTTCCCTTGTTCACCTAGTAAATGATCCAATATAACACCTGCCTTGCCTACTGAATAGGTAGGATTGTGTTCAGAGCACATGAATTTTCGATGCAGAAGCAACATGTAAATCATTACACAAAAATCAGTTATTAACTAAAATCCCAAAGGGATGGAGGGCTTATCTTTCACATCGTCTTTCTGTTCCCCCAACCTCTAACTTCTGCCTGGTTGGTTCTGATAATGGTTAATGATAAAGATCATGAAACGCTGTACCTAGTATGACCCTGGGAAAACTAATTTTGTTTGTCTGTTACTCTGGACTCTTTCCTCCAATTAACCCTCCCAGAAAAGTCTGGACCCTAAAAAGACCCTCAAAAGAGATTATTTTGTGGATACCAATCAAATTGTAGGGGAATTTCAGGCAGCAGTTAGGAAAGTTTCACAGCATTGCCACTTTTGTATAGGAAACAAATGTGTTATCTGGGAAGGTTTCTCCTAGAAATGAAAATGTACAGTCTCAGAATTTTTTTTTCTTTAAAGGAGAAACCAAGGACCCAATCTAAATACTTCTCTATGTAATAATGAAACATTTTTTTCTTTTCTTTTTTTAAACGTATTTGGTACAGGGCCTCACTATGTAGCTTAGACTTGTAGTGATTCTTCTGTTTTCAGCCTCCCCAGTGCTGGGATTACAAGCGTGTGCCACCATGCCCAGTCTACTGTGGCCAGTTTAGTGTTCCTGAGGGTGGGGCCGGCACAGCAAGTGGTTCTGGGGAATGGAACCCCCATCCATGTGCTTGCCTAAGCAGGCACTTAGTCCGCTGAGCTATCGTGCCAGCCCAGTAATGAAACATTTCATCAAACTCTACTGAAGTCACTTTGCAACTTCCTCCTACTTCTGCTTGGGTTTGGAGTGGCTGACACCCTTGAGTGAAATTTCAGCAGAGGCAGAGACATAGGAAGTCGTGTGTATTTCTTTGAAATACCTTCCCTGTGAATAAGAACTTCACTTGGTCATTTCTTTATATTTTACTGCAGCCCAGAGTTGAATGGAGTTTTTTAAGGCAAAAACTATCTTGGGCTTTTCATAGTTTTCCCCTTCAAAGCTTTTTTTGTATGTGTGTGTGTGTGTGTGTGTGTGTGGCCGGTACAGCCGGTCCTGGGGGTGGGCTGTCACACACCGGGAATTGAACTGTGGTCCCTGTGCTTTGTCTAAGCTTGCCTAAGGAGGCGTACAGCCCCCTGAGCTATCTCGCAGGTCCCCATCTTCAGAGCTTTGAACTGTGCAAGAAACACCCACATTCCACACCAACAAGGCAAAAGTTAAAATAAGAACGTGGTCAAAACAGTTTCTTACAGGTAGTATTTTATACTTACTTATTTAGAGACAAGGTGTTACTGCATCCTTCAAACTGGCCTTGAATTACCCAGCCTGCCTCAGGCTCCTGAGTATAGGGTTACAGGCCTACATCACTATTCCTGGTTCATCTTTTTTTTTTTTTTTAAAGTAAATTTTTATTCACTCTGAAATCAAGTCAGAGTAATGAAGAAGGGTGTGAGAATGTGCAGTAGAAACTACATTTTCTCCTTCAAGGGTAGGGATCGGATGGGGAGGGCATTGACTCAGGAGATCAGGCCCCAAGGTCAGTGGGAAGCCAGACCAGCCCCAGGCCAGGACCTGCAGGATGAGAGAACAACCCTGTCTTATCCCCTCAATAAGTACTTCCCAGTGATCATGGGAGAGCGGGTAGGGGCAGGCATAACCAGCGGCCCCTTCGGACTTCGAGCCCACGAGGGCAGCAGGCGCCTGCAGCAGCCCCGCCCACCCTGCGCAGTTGTCCTGGGAGACACTGGAGGTTTGTTGGCAAATAGGACTCTTCCATTATGAGAGGCTGCGGGGGTGCATGCTGGGTCGTCCTCATCTCATGGGTGCTGTCAAGGTGGCGCTCTCGCCCAGCCACCCCCGCCGCAGTGGTACAGTCCGGTCCGGCCTCGAGGCCTGCCGGCTGCTGAGCACTAAGTTAGAGTGGGCCGCCCGGGCTGGCCGGAGGAGGTGAGCAAGTGGCCCGCACCTCAGTTTCCTCACCTGCCTAGCTGGCTCCAACGCTCCTCCGGGCCCTTTTCCCCCTAGAAACCGTGAAGCCCCCACCAGCCCGAGGTCCCAGCCCTTCCTCTCCAGCCCAGATACCACCAGAGCATGCAGGACGTCGAGGACTGTGCGGCCCCTCAGGACGCCGGCGTTGAAGATGGCGGCTCCCGTGAGCCTGACGGGGCGGGGCTGGCCGGCGAAGCCGAGGGCAGCTCCCGGGGCCAGCCTCCGGGTAGGTCCAGCGGCCCTGGGGTCCCGTGCGTGCCCCGTGCAGCTTTTCCTGTCCTCGTCCCAGTCCGCGTCCGCAGCCCCCTCTCCACGCCGCGGGCGCCCTGCCCCGCAGAGGCCTTCACGCGCCTGCCCTGGCGTCGGGGAGCCCGCCCAGGCCGGGCAGCTTAGTGCAGGCGGGCGCCCCACGCCCGGCCAGAGTGGATTCTTTACGAAGGCCTACAGCGGCCTTTCCCCCTTTTTATTTGAAGCATTTAAAAATGGTTGCAAAGTAATCCAGTGAATGTTCCTATTGTTTTGTCCTGTTGCTTTTTCTCTCCCCAAACTGATCCACGAGCGATCACTTGAATCTGACCAGATTGGACAGCGAGTCACATTTAAACCATGTTTGAATGGTATTTTTTATTCACAGGTCAAAAAGGGCGGATTTCTGGGGTTAACTTGAAGAGCCAAATGACCCCAGCCAGAAGTTGCGTTTCCCGGGTTCTGTGGGCTCGGCTGTAGAGCGCTGCTTGTGGTCTGTGTCATAGTACGTGTTCTTTGGTGGTCGCTTTGGGACGCCAGGTCTCGGGGCCCAGCCTCACTGGGATTCAGGCCACTTCTCTTTCATAAGAATCTCCAGGGTATCTGACCAGTCATCGATCTGAAGGGGTGTTCACGTGTACAGCCTGAATTTTAAAAGTTTTTAAGATGGATTTGTGAAAAATTCAGTAGAGGCACGAAATTGAATTAAAACTCATTTCTCTTGTGACCACATGGGGTCGCTGCCGGTTAACAAAATGGCACCAAAAGGCTTGAACAGACCGGAACCTGAGGAGTTGGGGTGGGGGTGGGGGGCAGTGGGGAGCAGGGGTAGATATAGTTTGTTTCACAGTAGTTATTTAAGTGAATCCATAGGTAAAGTAATTCCCAGTAAACTGAATTACCAAATTCCTTTAAAAAGTTGAAATTTTGTGTTAGATTGACTTGATTACTATATTACCTTGACGATTTCTTTGTTCTTGGAATTCGAATTTTAAAAAACCATTCTTGTTGAATTTTAGCTCAGGTTATTCTTTGAGTCTTTTCTTTCCTGAATTTTGGAGCTGTTCTGGAGTGGCTTAGCACTGGGTTACTTGTCAGAAGTGGAATGGTCTTTCAGGACACACTGAACTTTGATTTGTTGTAGTTATTAGGAAGTGTTTCAGATTTGCCTTTGGTATGCTGCTGTAGCTCAGTTTCCCTTTGAAGATTTTTTTCTCATTTATTGTTATGAATTAGCAGTGAGAAAACTTACATATTTGTGTTTTGCCATTTGGGAACATCATACATTTAAGGTTCTGTTAACCTTAATGTTAGTAAGGACATAGTTTTTTTTTTTTTTTTTTTTTTTTTTTTTTTTTAATGTATTTAGTACAGGGTCTTAGGGTCTCACTACACAGATTGGACGCATAGTGATCCTGCCTGTTTTTTAGCCTCCCAAGCACTGGGAGTACAGGTGTGCGCCACCACGCCTAGTCTCATTTGCCATCTCAGCAAGCCTCGGGCAGGGCTGGCATGGCAGGCCTGCCTAAGCAGGCGCTTTTATCCGCTGAGCTATCTGGCTGGGCCCAGTGGATTCTTTTATTTATTTATTTTTTTCCTGTATTTTAGGGAAGGGTCTACAGGGTGTTCTGGGTCTCACTACCGGATCGGACTTGTAGTGATTCTCTTTACAGCCTCCCCCCAGTGCTGGTATTATAGGCACACGTCTCAATCGCTCTCTCAGTGCACCCCAGGGGCGGGGCGGGCACAGCAGTCGTGGGGATCAAACCCCTGGACTGCTGTGCCTGCTTGCAGCTGCTTTAATCTGCTGAGATATTTAGCTGGCCTAAATATCTGAGTGGATTTTTTATAAAGGCCTACAACTACCTTTCACCCTTTTTATTTGAAATATTTAAAAATTGTTGAAAATTAATACAGTGAATGTTCACATTGTTTTGTCATCTTGCTTTTTATCTCTATATATGTATTCTCCCCCTTGCTTTCTGAAAGTTACAGTAATGACTTTATCTGTATTTTATTTTATTCTCTTTTTGGGAGCTGAGGCAGTGTCTCACTATGTAGTTCAGGCTGGCCTGGAACTCCCAATGATCCTTCTGCTTCAGCCTCCTGAATATCGTGCTTTTTTCTAAGTGAAAGGGAACTGCCCCATATAACCTCTTCATGTAATAAGTTTATTTTTTCTTTTTACATTTTAAGTCTTGGTGCAAAAACTTAAAACATTTATAAAAGTAAAGCAACTCATACAATAAACCTGTCCTAATTTGTCACCCAGCCTCAGTCAATTCATGGCCAATCAGTTAATCTATTTGCCCATCAGACCTTGAATCTAAATAATTTCCTAAGAGACAGGAGAGGTCCCAAGTGTGTGGCTACTGAGGCTCTTTGTCAGGGGTAACTTATACAGCAAAATCACATTGGGGGTACAGTGTGTGTCAAATTGCCAGCAACCTATAGGATTGTAAATGTAGCCTGTTAGTTAATATTTGATCCAATTAAGAAATGAGAGTCTCTTGCTGCAGTAATGAGAGTGGGAGCACCAGGAGCTTTGGCTTGGAGAGAGACACTTCGGATTGTTTTAAGAAAATGGCAAACAAACCAGACATGGGGGAAGTCACCAGCTTTGTTAAGGCCAAGCTGAAGAAGATTGAGACACAGAAGAACACCCTACTAACCAAAGAGACCATTGATCAGGAAAAGCGGAGTGAGATTTCCTAAGAGCCCAGAGGATTCCCGCCCCCCTCATCTCCAAGACTCTCCAGTCATGATGTGAAGGAAGAGCCACAAACTACACTGTGAACCTGGGCAGTTTATGCTGGTGCCACCGGCCCATGGGTCTCTGAGGAGATCCTCCCTGCCCAGTCAGACTGCCAAATTCTTTGGTTTGCCCTGGGATATTATAGAAAATTATTTTTATGTTGAATGAAAATAAAACACATCTTGTGGCAAAAAAAAAAAAAAAAAAAAAAAAAGCATATGGCAAAGGTACATGGAAAGAACAAAGGCATTTTGGGAAAGGGAAAAGATGTATAGGTCCAAATGATCTGGTCACCCACCTGTGGGTCCTTTGGACCAGCTGGTGCTTATTACAGTATAATCTCAAGTTGCTGTTTATCTTGCAGGCACAACTGTTGCTTCTCTATCCTGAGGCTTGGCGCTCTGCAGATTGGCCTCCAGCCATGATTCTGATGTCTTTTTGTGCTGACTTCCTTGCTGCATATTAATTTCTGTCTAATTTAACTGCCTTGCAGTAGTCTCAAAGCTAGACTGATTCACTTTAAGGGACTGCTCTTTATTTTGAGAATATTTCCCTTGTGCTCTTTCATGTAATTATGATTTTGGGAATAGTAGAATTTTTGTTTTTCGGTACTTGGCTAAATAAAAGTTGTCATTATAGTAAGTTAACTACAATCTTTTTGGAGGTTTATTAGTATGAAATGCTAAAATCTGGAAACAACTGCTTTTAGACTTAGCACTGTTGAGGGACACATTTGTATTATCTGTAGGGGGAACTTAGGTTTCATCACAGGTACCTACAAAGGCAGGAACAGAAAATGGACTCTTAGTACTGTAGATAAATATTTACTTTTGCCAAATCATGAAGTTGTTTCTTTGTGATTTTACTTTTTAAAAGTTTATTGTTGGTTTCACTTTTTTTTGTGTGTGTGAATTAGCTTTCTCCTGCCTCTCCCTTGTGCTCTTTGAATTTTCAGCACCCTTATGGGACATAGAGTTCAAAAAACCTCAATGACTCCTGTAATTGAGTGAATCTGACACATGCGAGGCCTACTGAGTAGGATGAGTCTCCTGATAAAATAGAAGCCCATGCTTGCTTGAGTTCACTTTGTCCATCACTCATTCTTTGGTTACAGTTCTCCCAGAGACCGTTAAAGAAGTGTCCAAGCTCAGTGACAAGATTGGGATGAGCCATGATTTTCACATGGAGGAGGTGATTTTACCTCCAAGCAGGTATAGGCTTTTCTACTTTTTCACTTTGCTCGTCCTGGCATGGGTTCTTAACACTAAGGACTTCTGACCTGGTGTTCTTATTTAATAATATAATTAGTATTTAAGTGGTCTCTAAGCTTACATAAACTAGTAACAAGTTGTAATTATTAGTATCTGTATGAAGGAGCAAATGCTATGTAACCTGTGAGTAAAGCAGAGCAATAATGGTCAGAGTAATGGGGGATCTGCTCTTCCCTGAAAGACTTGGAGTAAGTAGTTGGCACTTAAAAAGTTTTGAGTTTTGATATTCAGATTTTGGTTTCCAGGTATTCAGATTTGGGATATTCAACCTGAATTGTCATTTAGAGAAGACAGTTTCATATTACATAGGCACAGAGAAAGAAAACAGGTGTATCCAAGAAGGAGGTTGAGATGTGTCAGGAGAGACACACAGAAGGATTTAAAATGGTATCAGGCAAAAAAATAAAAAAATAAAAAAATAAAAAAAAAATAAAAATATGGGGCCGGGGAGATGGCTCAGTGGAATAAGCACTTCCCTGGCAAGTGCAAGGGTCTGAGTTCAATCCCCGGTTCTGCCAAAAATAAATAAGTAAAATAAATAAAATGGTATCAGGTAACAAAATTGCAAAGATTCATTGCAGAGTTTTACAAAGAAATATAAAGTGAACCTAGGAGAAAGTGCAGAAGCCTGTGTAATATAACCAGCTAAGTGACAGTTGTAATTGCGACTGGTTTCGTTAGAGAGGGAGCTTTTAGATTTAGCTTGTTTCCTAATGGGCGGACTGAGCTCAGGACACAGCCAATTAGCTAATAGGATCTCGCTAAATCTCTAAGTTTCTCCAGGCTGGACATGAATTTGCAGTCTTTCTGCCTCAGCCTTGTGATACTCAGATCTTTATAAACAAAGGATCCCACTTTTACCTTGAATCTTGGGGTCTTCAAGAGCTGAGGTAGAAAATAAGAGGGAGGGCTGGTGAGATGGCTCAGTGGTCTAAAGCACCTACTTAGAACAAGCTAAGCAAAGCACAGGGACTGCAGTTCAATCCCCCAGCACCACATGCCAGCCAGGCCCGCCCCCTGGTGGGCTGAGCTGGCCACACACACACACACACACACACACACACACATAAATAAATAAATAAAATTAAAAAAAAAAAAAAAAACTAAGAGGGAGATGCAATGGGGCTGGGTTGTGCAGGACTTTTCAGTGTGTGTCACTGGGTTTCTCCCTTCCCACTCCAGGTAAGCCCATGTGGCTAGTGGTGAGTGGATTTCCAACAGCTAGTTACTATATTCTGAGGTACTTTCTTAGGGGAGAGGAAGTGGGAGGTAAAGGAGGTAAAGGGGCAGATTAAGAGGAAGACTAAATGATTTTTAGGGGAGATGAATGGACCCAACATGTCTGGGCTCTCAGTGTCAAGTTGTAGCTTTGGCTGTGAGATCTTAGCCAGTGATTTTTCTTGTAGTAAATTGACATCTTCTGCTAATTTCTGTCTGATCGAGTCAGAAATCTGGAACTTTATATAAGTATACAAAAAAAAGTGAATTAAAAAATCATAGTTTTAGGGCCAGCAAGATAGCTCAGCAGGGTAAGCTCCTGCTTAAGCAAGTGCAGGGACTGGGGGTTCAATCCCCAGTACCACATGTGCATCGGTCGTGCCCCCAGGCATGCTGAGCTGGCCACTGAGATGGGGCATGGTGGTGCAGACCTGTAATCCCAGCACTGGGGAGTCTGAAAACAGGATCACTGTGAGTCTGAGCTGCATAGTGAGACCCTGCACCAAATACATAAATAAAATTTCAGCTCTTCACTGAATGTGGTGGTGTCTGCCTCTAATTCCTGCCCTCTAGGGGACTGAGGCATGAGGGTCACAGTTCTAGCCCAGCTTGAATGACTTACCAAGACTGTGTCAGATGATAGATAGCAGCTCTTTCCATTAAGCTATACAAGCCCAGAGGCCCTTTCAGAACACAAAGCAACCCTTGCCAACACCAAAACCCAAAGACTTCAGGGAACTCTGCAAAAATAGCAGAACTTCAAACTTGAGAAGAATCTACTTGGAGCTCTGTGAGGAAGATGGAATACCCCACACAATGGGATATGGTTGCTTACCTGTGTTCCTCAAGGGGTCTCCAGACTCTCCCTTAGGTCCCTTTATGTGGTAGTTAGAACCCTGTTGTATCCTCTTGGTCATTTTTCATACACTGATCATTGACTGAATGGAGGCAGTAGGGACATAAAGCAGGATATATCAGCGATCAAAGGATCTGAATGGAAGATTGAAGGTAGAAGAAGGAATAGGAGGAGCAGGACCAAATGGAAAGATCAGCTCTTAGAAAAGCCAGTCAAAGGGCTGGCCAAACAACTCAGCAGATTAAAGTGCCTGCAAGCAGTCTCAGGGGCCTTGGGTTCAATCCCTAGGCCTACTGTGCCAGCCCTGCCCCTGGGGCATGCTGAGACTGTGATTTAAGACGGGGTGTGGTGGTGCGCCCCTGTAATCCCAGCACTTGGGAGGCTATAAACAGAATCATTGTGAGTCCCATCTATCTAGTAGTGAGACCCTGAGCACCCTCTAGACCCTTCCCTAAAATACAGGGGAAAAAAAAAAAAAAAAAAAGATAAAAGCCAGTCTAAGGAGTTCTTCCAGTTTTCCAAAGAGAAACATCTGATTAGCAGATGTTTGAGAAAAAGGGATTTCACTCAACTGAGAAATTTCCATGAGAGAGGAGGAAACCTGTAGAGAATAGAGGCCATAAAAAAAGTATAACTTGAATATTAGCTTTTATTATGCCAACATTTCATTACAGACCTCTTATAAAAAATCTTTTTCCTCCTTTTTTTTTTTTTTTCTCCAAATGCCTTCAGGGCAGGTTTGGCTGGCTTGAGTTGTGGGGATCGAACCACAGCAACCTGAGCTTGACTGCTTGGTTGAAGCAGCCACTTAAAGAACTGAGCTAAGGGGCAGGCCCCCCCTTTTTTTTTAAGTAAGGAACAGTTCTGTTTGTAATGTCCCAGTTTATACAGAATCTGTAAACATGTGAAGGCAAACAGGGAAAGTTCTGTGATTGGTGGGAACGGTATATGGACTTTGAGTTACTTCTAGACTCATAGTTCTGGTTTTATAAAGATTCAGGCTGCAAGGCAAGACTTTGATTTAATTCGCTGAAATATTGGGCTGAAGCCTGAAAACTAACCATCTACCCAAAGGTATTCTGTGTAGGTTGCTTTTTCATATCAGAGAGCCGATTTCCAACTAAGATGAAAATCAAAGGGTTTTTTTTTTTGTTTGGATTTAGAAAAGTCCTAATGTTTTAATAAACCAGTTTCTTTCTTTCTTTTTTTTTTTCTTTCTCTCTTTCTTTTTTTTTTTTTGTGGAACTGGGGATTGAACTCAGGCACTTGTACTTGCCAGGCAAGCACTTATTCTACTGAGCTATCTCCCTAGCCCCTTTTTAGCTTTTTTTTTTTTTTTCAGTTTTTTCCTGAGTATGTACTTCCATCATAGCTTAGGAAAGAAGGAAAAAAAAAAATCTAATCTGCTCTGAATATGTCAGGGATCTAAACCAAAGTAAGTCTACAAGTGACAAGAGGCACAAATACAATTCATATTAGTTTTTATTCAAGATCAAAACTAACAGAATCTTTTATGGCTTTAACCAAGGTGTTCAGAAGAGAGAATGAAAGATTCAGCTCTTTCAAGACTCAGACCATTCCTGAAGAAAGGCAAAAAGAAAGAAGAACTTAGACTGTATAGCAGCTGGTATGTCTGCCACGGGGGTGCAACTCACCATATTCTTGGGGTTCCAAACCTTTAAGTCGGGCACTTTCACACATCCACCCCATAGCCCACGTATGCCTGCCCATAGATGGAAAAGCGAAGCAAGACCAACAGTAAAACAGATGCTATCAATAGAAGGAAAAGAATCTTTAAAAATTGGGTACCCCCATAACAAACAGTCATACAAATTCAAAACAAATAATTCAAACTAATTTTTGCACAAGTTTCTCTCCTTTGCTCAAGGATTTTATGAAGGAAATTGAGCTTGACTCAGAGGGCAGAAAGTTTAAATCAGAGGCCCAGAGATTCAGATCTTCTGTTTAAAGCACTTAAACTTTGTTCTAGAGTTTATTTCTTTGGGGCCGGGGAGATGGCTCAGTGGAATAAGTGCTTCCCTGGCAAGCGCAAGGGCCTGAGTTCAATCCCTGGTTCTGCCAAAAAAAAAAAAAAAAAAAAGTTTATTTCTGTCCCTCTTAATTTGCATTTCTGTAAGTACTCAGAGGATAATTAAGATTAGAGATCTCATCAAAATTTTCTTCAAATGTAGCCAACTTTTTTTCCAGAAGCAGTTCAAACCAGTACAAGAACTAGTTTACCTATGTTCTTGCCTGCTTGTCTAAATTTTGAAAGGGAAAAGGACCGCACTTTCCACCCTCGCACAGCTGAGCGCTACAGGTAGACAGGTGAAAATTCGTTTTTTCCTTTGCTAGCTTTTTGTCATTTGTCCTAGGGTACTATGTGCAGGTTCTGACATAAGCAGCATGATTTGTTATCCTTATGACTAAACTGTAGAGAAATGTAGGCTTTTCTCTGAAGGCTTGATAATTGAGTGCTAAAGTAAACTGACAATGGAATGATTAACAGAGGAGGATAGAACTTACTAACATGAGAATCACACAAAACATGCAATCAGAGAACCAGATGGTTGACACTTAGATACCTTCATAGAGGAGAGAGAAGCGTGGGGAGGAGGTATATTTAGAGGAAGACTAAGTGATTGGAAGGGAAGACAAATGGGCCTGAGATATCTGGGCTCTGAGTGTCAGGCTTAGGCCTTGATTTTAAGCTATCTCCTGAGGCTGATGAGCTAGCTAGCATGGGACTAGCAATGATAGAAAATCTTGGGGGTGGGGGCACGCCCAGCCTTTGGGTTTATGGGGGAACTGCAGAGAAAGCCCTTCCCTGCCTTCCTTCTCCCCGGGTGCTCTCAGTTAGAGGTCCAGAGGAGTATTTTGGGGCATTGTTTTCTGAGCCCTGACAGTTGAATAAGCTATTTTCCTGCTGGTGATAAGGAATCTCCAAAGGACTTTAAATGAACATGACATCATGGCCAGAATTGCATCATAGAAAAATCAATTTTAGCATGGGCTGGTGGTGATATAGAGGGTGCCAGTTAATGCTAAGGGATGATGCAAGAAGGGGAAGGAGTCCAGAGACATTGAAGTAGCAGAAATTGTGGCGCTTAACAACCAGTTGTGTGTGTGTGTGTGTGTGTGTGTGTGTGTATATATATATATATATATATATAGCAAGAGGAGAAAGAAGTTAATAATTTCTCGTATGTACTAGACTATTGGGTTATAGCCAGTTACCTTTGACAGTTGAGATTAGTGTGTTCAGAGAGGAACTTCAACTTTTTGTTTTAGCTTTCTATTATAATTTTTATATAAATTATGTGTATCACTGCTGTGTTTTTGAGGGAACTTGCTTAATTTAAGAAAATGAGTTGTTCTGGGGCTGGTGAGATGGCTCAGTGGTCTAAAGCACCTACTTAGAACAAGCTTAGCAAAACACAGGGACCATGGTTCAATCCCCCAGCACCTCATGCCAGCCAGGCCCGCCCCCTGGTGGGCTGAGCTGGCCAC